CCTTTTGTGTTTCCTTTTTTGTACACTCTCTGATTATACCTTTGGGTTGTTATTCTTAGTGATTTCTAGAGACTGTTTATATATTATAGAGATGAGTTCTTTGTGATATGATTTGCAAACATTTCTCCGAGTTTCTCATTTGACTTTTGACTTGGTTTGTTGTTGTTAGGTACCATTGAGTCAGTTCCGACTCATAGCAACCCTGTGTACAACAGAAGGAAACACTGCCCATTCGTGCGCCATCCTCACAATTGTTGTTATGCTTGAGCCCATTGTTGCAGCCACTGTGTCAGTCCATCTCGTTGAGGGTCTTCCTTTTTTTTTGCTGACTCTCTACCAAGCGTGATGTCCTTCTCCAGGGACTGATCCCTCCTGATAACATGTCCAAAGTATGTGAGATGTAGTCTCGCCATCCTTGCTTCTAAGGAGCACTCTGGTTGTACTTCTCCAAAGACAGATTTGTTCGTTCTTTGAGCAGTCCATGGTATATTCAGTATTCTTCGTCAACACCATATAATTCAAAGGCGTCAATTCTTCTTCAGTCTTCCTTATTCATTGTCTAGCTTTTGCATGCATCAGAGGAGATTGAAAACACCATGGCTTGGGTCAGGCACACCTTAGTCTTCAAGGTTATATCTTTGCTTAAAGATCCTTTAGTTTTATTTTGGGTTTATTTCATGTTTTTTGTTGAGTTCGTTTTTGTCTCTGCATTTTTAATGAGGATGAGATTTAAAAAATGGTTTTAATTTTTTTTGTATTTTAAAACTTTTTTAAAAATAACTTCAAACGTAGAAAATTTGGCAGAATAGTACAAGGAACTCCCATATACTTTTTTTTTTTTGTGGTGTAATATACATAGCAAAGCATCTGCCAATTCAACCATTTTTCCACGTACAATTCAGTGACATTGATTACGTTCACCATGTTGTGCAACCATCAGCCACTATCCATTTCCAGTTATTTCATCATCCTTAACAAAAGCTCAATACCCCTTAAGCCCATATTTTTAACCAAATGTATTAGCTATTGCCGTGTAACAAATTGCCTCAAAACTTAGCAGCTTAAAACAACAAACGTGAATTTATCTCATAGAGTTTCTATGGATAAAGAATCTGGGAGCAGCTTAGCTAGAGGGTTCTGTCTCAGGGTCTCTTATGAGGTTACAGTTAAGACGTCATCTGGGGCTGCAGTCATCTGAAGGCTTGACTGGGGCTGGAGGATCTACTTCCAAGCTCACTCACATGGCTGTTGGCTGGAGGCCTCAGTTCCTCCCACGTGGGTCTCTCTAAAGGATGGCTCACAAAATGCTCCCCAGTTGGCTTCCCCCAAAGCAAATGATCCAATCGAAAGAGAGTGAGAGGGTGCTCAGGCTGGTAGCTGCAGTCGTTTTTATAACCTAATATCTATTGTCTTAATGGGTAACTGCTATCTGATAGACTGGTGCATATGAAAATGGTAAGTGAAAGGATTTCTTTCTCCATATTATACCTAAGTAAATCTAGCAAAAACATAGGATTAGGAAGAGTAAACACATAGCCCCTATACTGTTTGAATGGACCAGTTGAAGTTAAATAGGGCACAGTGTATTGTGCAAATGCATAACTGAAATACCTTTTGCCCCGCAGCTCATGCTTCCTTAGCTAAGTCTTCTGCTGTGCAGTTGGCGCTCCTGGCGTGGTCAGGCTACTGCTGCTGTGCCCTGCTTGAGCAAGTGGTCAGTTTCACAAAATGGCTGTCTCCATGGGTATATAGTTGGTCATGTTTATTTAGCATCATACCTGCCATGAGCGTAATGAAGTCTTGGATTCACACAGCTTCAGTCTCTATAAACATTAGGCCTGCTGTGCCATGTCAAAGAGATTAGTTAATAGAAGTGTGAATGGAACATGCTGAGGGTGACCCACCTAAGACCCCAATTCAGGAAGAAGACAAAGAACTATATAAAGCCATTGTTTTAGTAACTTTAACATTCAGTTTAGATAATTGATTGACATAGCTCAGAAATCATAGAGTGTGAACAGATGCATAAAAAGTGTACGAGCCTCGCTGCTCCTTCTTAAAAAAAACAATAACCAAACCCATTGCCATCGAGTCAATTCCAATTCATAGCAACCCTACAGGACAGAGTAGAATTGCCCCATAGGGTTTCCAAGGAGTGGCTGGTGGATTTGAACTGCTGACCTTTGGTTAGCAGCTGTAGCTCTTAACCACTGCGCCACCAGTGCTCCAGCCTAGATCCCATCTATCCCCGGAATAATGTGAATGTATGCTTCTCTGCCCCCTTTTCACAAAAGACAGCCAGTACACTCTCCCACATTCCTTTTAACCCTTGCCTATTATTCCATTGTACAGATATGCCTTAATTTATTGAACCAGTCTTATGTTGATGAAGGACCCCTGGTGGTGCAGCAGTTAAGTGCTGGCTGCTAACCAGAAGGTTGGCAGTTTGAACCCACCCAGTGGCTCCAGAGGAGAAAGACCTGGCAATCTGCTTCTGTAAAGATCACAGCCTAGAAAACCCTGTGGGGCAGTTCTACTCTGTCACATGGTGTCGCTATGAGTCATAATTGACTCAGTGGCACCTAACAACAACAATCACAGAAGTGACTTGTGACCATTCCTGCCATGTTCTACTGGTCACAGAGCCCAACTGTGGTACCATGTGGGAGAGGACAATGTCAAGAGGTGGGGATCATTGGGGGCCATCTTGGAGGCTGCGTACCACTCCAGACTTACTCATTTTGTGAAAACTTTGCTACATGTACTTTATCCCTCTCTCTCTCTCAGTATGTTGCTATTGTTGTTGGGTTGCTGTTGCGTCGTCTCCACCTCATGGCGACCCATGTACAACATGATGAAATCTTGCCAGGTCCTGCGCCATCTTCACGATCATTGGCATGCTTGAGTCCATTGTCGTGGCCACTGTGTATTTTGGGTGCCTTCCAACCTAAGTGACTCATCCTCCGGCACTACATCAGATAACATTCCATTGTGATCCGTAGTGTTTTCATTGGCTAATTTTTTGAGACAGATCACCAGGCCTTTCTTCCTAGTCTCTTGGCCTGGAAGGTCTGCTAAAACCTGTCTACCATGGGTGACCCTGCTGGTATGTGAAATGCCAGTGGCATAACTTCCAGTATCACAGCCATATACAAGCCACCACAGTACTTAGAGGTAGCAAACCTTTGGGGATGTATAGATAGATTTTTTTTTTTTTTAATTGCTGGAATTTATGTTATTCAGGCCAAGTTTGGAAGCGATGCTGGAAGGATCCAGGAGCTTGGAGGCTAAAGCAACTCGTAACTCTGAAATCATGAGTTGGCCTACTTCGGAGGCACAAAGCAAAGAGCCCTGGCTTTGGAGTGTGGTAGCCTTGAGTGGTCTCAAGCTGGCTGGTCTTGGGCAGGTCCTTTGAGCCCCCAGAGCCTGAATGCCCCTCGGTCAGCTTTGAGAAGCAGCTCTGAGGTCACTGAATGGCATTGAGCAGGGAGATGATGGGCACAGACCCAGGGCTGGGTCCAGCTCTGCGTCTTCCTATGTGGAGACCTCAAATCTATCCTTTTGGCTCCCTGGCCTCAGTCTGTCATCTGTGAAATGGGCCTAATAGTATCACTGTTCTCCTAGAGGCATGGAGAGACCAAATGAGTTGGTGCAGGTAGCTGACTGAAGGTGCTGGATCCGTGTGAGCTGTTACTGTGGTGTAGATTTGGTGACAGCATAAAGATACCAGCAGTTTAAAATGATTGTAAAATGATTTTAACAGCGGTATTATGGGCAGTTAATTTCCCTTCTTAGTTCTTTTCTGTATTTTCTAAATTCTCTAAATAAACGTATGACTATTCTTCTAATCATTTTAAACTGCTTAACCAGGGAGCGCCAGCTATATACCAAGCCATGGGTCAGAATCAACTCGGCAGCAACTGCTTGGTTTTGGTTAATACCCCTGTGGGAAAACAGCTCGTAACATTTCGGTTGGAAGGTTTATTTTCATCTTTTTTTTTTTTTTTTTCCCCCCTCTCATTCATCTAAAAGGTTTTAAGTTTTTAAGATTCCTAGGGCTACCATGACAAAATACTGCAAACTTGGTGGCTTCTAATAGAAATTTGTTGTCTTAACAGTTCTGGAGGCAGGGAGTCTGAGTTCAGGGCGCCGCCAGGACCCCGCTCTCTGTCCACTCTAGGGGCGGATCCTTCCTTGTCTCCTCCAGCTTCTGGTAGCCCCAGGCGTCTATTGGCGTTCCTTGGCTGTAGATGCACCTTCCCCCGGCACCTTCCCCGTGTGTGATTCTGTCTCTGTGTCTCTCCTCCCCTTTTATAAGTACCCCACTCAGGTGGGATCAGGACCCACCTTACTCCAGTATGACCTCATGTTCACTGGTAACATCTTCAAAGACTGTTTCCAAACACGGTCACGCTCACAGGTACAGGGGTTAGGAATTCCACTTACCTTTTTGGGGGACACAGTTTGGTCCATCCCAGGTGTGATACTGTCACAGTCACATGCCATGATGACGGTTCTTGGGGAGGTGACCTCTGGGGGACGAGGGGCGAGGCGCTCGGCTTGGCATTTCAGGCAAGGTTGATCCAGACGTGAACGTGTTAGAGAACTCACGTCTTTGCCAGTGTCTGGCACACACACACGTGCCCACACATGCCCACACCAGCAGGCTCACGGGGCACATGGACGCCGCCACACAGGGATTCAGAGGCAGGGTCCTTGGAACACTTAGAAGGGGCCCATGACCCCAGAGTCCCCCACGGGGCTGTGTGCCCAGCCTGGTCTGCCCCTCAGTCATCTTCCCGGGGACCCTGTGTCCCTGCAGCCTCTGTGGCCATGTAGTCCCACACCCTGGTACACTGCGTCTGCACTTGGGTGTGGTTTCCTCAGGTCAGCTGGACACTCAGGCAGGGCGGGCGCTGGGTCGCTGCCCTGCGGGCCTCCCTGCCCCCACACTGCTATGCTGCCCTGCTGCTCCTGAGCCTCTGCCTTCTCCTGCTCAGCTGGCAGGGCCCCCCACTGTGCCACTGCTGCCTGCTTTCTTGCTGCTGCCCCCACCCTACAGGGCTGCCTTCATGGGGCAGGGGATTGGGGAGGAGGATGGAAAGGCAGGGCAGGAGAGGGGGTGAGGTCAGAGGGCAGAGAAGTGCCGAGGGGGTATGAGGTGGAGGGGTGAGGTGGGGGGGCAGAGGTGGAGGGGTGAGGTGAGGGGGACAGGTGGACGGGTGAGGGAGGGACAGAGGTGGAGGGGGTGAGGTAGGGGGACAGGTAAAGGGTGTGAGGTGAGGGTGACAGAGGTAGAGGGGGTGAGGTGGGGGAACTTGGGTGAGGTGAGGGGACTCAGGTGGGGGCACACAGAGGTGGGAGACAGACACTGGTGAGACAAAGTGTGGGGTCAGATGGAAGGCATGAAGTTGGGGGACAGAGATAGAGTAGATGAGGTGTGGGGGACAGAGAGGTGGGGGACAGGTGGGGGCTGAATGATGGGGGACGAGGGGGGGGACAGGGTGGGAACTGAAAGGTGGGAGATGGGGTGGAGACAGAGTTGGGGGATCGGCTGGGGCAGAGAGGTGAGGGATAGATGTGGGGGATAGGTGGGGGAGGAGGTGGAGGGATTGAGGAGGCAGAGAGAGATTGGATGGGCTGTGATGGGGGCACATAGGCCAGAGGTGTGGGGAGGTGTGCGAAGGAGTCAGGAAGGGAGGGAAGGCGAGCCTGTGGGGTCCTTTCTCTCAGGACAGGGGATGGCTGAGAAGGGGGGCTGGGGTCCCCGGTAGCTTGGGGCATGGGGAGCCAGTGTTGGTTCTGACCTGCCCTCCCCTCTCCCTCCCCCCACCCCGCCCAGATCCCGGCAGTGGCTCCGCTGAAGGGCCCTGGCCCCTCCTCATCCCCATCACTACCTCACCAAGCCCCCCTGGGGGACAGTCCCCACATTCCCTCCCCAC